TTTGACTCTTAATTAACTAAAAAATATCGGTGTGGCTCCACCGTTATTTCACATATATATATAAATATATATATATATATGTATGTATATAATTTTAATAATTAGACACGTGTCTTTTTCCACGTAATTATCGGAACATTGTAAGTGGTTTGATATTTAAACTAAAATGGAAAAAAGAAGAAAAGGGTTAGAAGAAAATATTAAAAATGTTTTTAAATATTTTTAAGAAAATAATTGGTTTTTCCTTAAAATTAAGAAATGTAGGCATGAGGTTTACATTTAAAGCGCATAAGGTTTATATAAATTAAAAGAAGCAAATATGTTTAATCTGGAGTTCTGCGTCTTAGGTCTTCCTAATACGCAGAAGGTATAGGTGCGTATAGGTATAGGTATAGGAAGGTATAGGTATAGGTGCGTATTAGAAATCCTCCTTTCATCTCTGTACTATAATTTGACAAATATATTAGATAAATACTAATTATTTAATTGAAAAAAAATAATGATCAAAATTTGGAAAACATTTTATTGGCTTCAATCAATAACTTTTAGTACAGATTTGAAAATATATTAATTATGCTGGTTATCATTAATTTTGAAACAAGACAGGTTTCAAAAAATTTTCCTCTCTTGCTTAAACCGACCCCGGAATGATTGTTTATTTCTTAAGTTATTTCTTAAAAGTTTTGCCAAATATATAAGATAATGGTTCTTTTAAATTTACAAAAAACTGTACTCAGTTTTTCAATTGCAGTTTAATTGCACTACAGCGGAGAAAGTCCTCCATTGGTCCGTTGCAGCAATATTAAAAAATGTATTTGAATTTCTTGATGTGTTTTATACATATTCTTTAATCTTTTGCTTCGACTTTCAGCGCCAATCTATTGTTCTCCTTTTAATTCGACAAAAAACTATTATTTCAAAGCATTTCCACAAAATTTAATGATGACCCTTTAAAAGCTAGCTAAAATGTTTATGCATTGTTCGTGTTTGAATGCTCCTGCAACTATTTGAAACCAATGACGCAATTTTATTATGGGGGGGGGGGAGACACGAACGGCATCCCCGCTTTCCTTGAGACCTACCAATCCATGTATCCATCAAATAATCCAATACAGATGGTGAAGAATTTTCAGTAAGTAAATCTGTGTCTGAAAGACATTTAAACATTTCAACTCAAAATGTTTTCTAATTGCACTTTGGAAAGAATGCAGAGGCAGCTAATATTCTTAATTATTTCTGCGCCCTTTGTGTATTGTGTCATTCGCGATAGAAATACCTCAGATAAATACAAAAGACACAAAAAAATTTTTAAAAAAATCGAGGTCACATGCTTGCACTTATAGAGACATATTCCATTATCTCAGTAATAAAATATTTTTTATTATAATTTTTTCTTACTTGAAAATACACATTTAATAGCAAAAAACAAGTATCTAAAATGGATTTATGCTGAAAAGAAATACTTTGTTATCTGTTATGTTTTGTTTTCCTTGTATAATTTCAGTAATTATCAAACCATTTTTAATATCAACATATAAGCTTTCATTTTCAAATCTTTGTCGCTATTTATGCTGCGTTTTAAAATTTTGAATATATATTTTCAATGCGTCTCTTTCACTTATGCTCTTTCCTCTGATGGCTTCTTGGTCCCGCGGTGAACTGAACGTTAAGATCGGTTCCCAGCAAATCACTGAAGTCAAGTATCACTGGATGCGGTCAGTGTGCGGGTGAGTGACCACTTGGATCAGTCTGCGTAGGAACCAAGGGTGTGCGGTATTGGTCCTCGTTAAACTGTGCTACCGTTAAGTGCTCAACTTCGCATGCAGGTCGTCGGACTACCGAAGCGGGGCTGCCATCCCCTCCATAGAGGATCAAAATTGTGATGGTATGTCTTCGGATCATCCTCCGGGATGTTTCCCAGACTGTATCAATATACCATTGTGCAGCTGTAGCGCTACATAAATTAACAACAACAACAACTGATGGTTTCTTGAGCAAGCTCCTATGTTAAAGTTCGCTGTTATTTCCCAATTACAAATTTTCATCAAAAATTAAATATATATTCGATTGGGTACAAACATTATAAGTAAAAAATATCATATATTATAAATAATTGCTGTTTCTTTAAAATTAGCTTTAATAAAGATTGGATTAAAAATGTAGGTATGAAAATATTAAAAATTACTATAAATATTCAAAAAAAAATTCATTGCTGTTTTCTTGAAATAAAAAAATGTAGGATTAAAAAATGTAGTCATGCGGTCTACATCTAAAACACATAAGATTTATCTTTATTAAAAGATGCAAATATGTTTAATCTGGAATTCTGTGTTTCCTGTCTTTACTCAAAAAGTTTCTTTTTAACACTATACAATAATTTGACAAATATTTTAGATAAATATTAATTATTTAATAGAAAAAATTAGCGATCAAAATTTACAAAATTTTATTGGCTTTAATCAATGAATTCTAGCATAGATTTGAAAATATAAGACATGTCAATTCCATGTTTAAAAATAAAAGCCAGTTGAAAATAATAGCCTAAAGTGTTGAATCGTTAAATTTTTATCATTTCTTTTTCTATTTTCAGTTCCCTTGCAAAGCAATGAACTGTCAATGAACTTTTAGTGAGCTTTCCTAATGAAGCCGTATGAGACACAATATTTTTAACTTAACTATTAAATTTACTATAAATAACAATATCTACAATTGCGTAAAGAAAATTAAAAAATTAGAAAAAAGGAAAATTGCGTAAAGAGTATAATAATTTTAATACTTCTCTTGCATTAAGCTAATGCACAGCAACACTATTACGATGATAGTGGTTAATAAGACACTAATTATTACCAGCTTTATTTATGCAGAGATAATAAAAAAAATTTAATATTATTTTTTTTATTCCATTACTAAATTGCGCACTAACATTTCCATCTTCAACATATAAATATAATATAGCCAAATGTATGTATGGACAGTGTGCAAATAGAAACTAAACGGAACACCCTGAATAATTTTGTTTTTCATCTCTCAGTTAGTTATCTCTTTTGAAAATAAGTCTTACAAGTTTTATTATTAATTCATTAACGTTTTCAACTATTTATGAAAAAGTACGGAATGTTTGCTTCAATAAAAATTTTAAAATGTATTGACCTCTTGTATCGAGCTTTACGTCCGAAGGCCCGACTGGTGTCATTAATAGAATCAATTTTTAAAAAAATATATTTTGAATAGTGTTGAACCAATTTATGTTATTTTGTTACATTTATTGGATAATTAATACATGAATTGTTTTCTTTTTTAAATTATAATTATACTGTTTCGAGTATAACTATTGTATTACTTTTTTATAAATATATGTAGCTAAGAAATACAATATCGTGTTGGCTGGAACTATTATTATAAAAGTATATGTACCACTAAGTTATTAATATCCAAGTTTTTTTGCAAACTTTCTTCACTGAAAGAAGCACCTGTTTTATATCAAATGCATTTACTTTAGATTCCACAATTAAACATGTTTATTAAAATAGTAGAAAACTATATTGAATAATAAATAAAAAATATTTATAAAATTATTAAATTTCCATTATTTGGAAAAAGTTTCGTGTATTTTTGATAATTTTTTTTGAGAATTTGGAAAATTAATAAGCAAATACTGAACATTACTGAATATCTGAAACGAAAAAAAAACTAGAAATACCTGCGAGATATTTCTGAAATTAAAAAAAAACTACACCGTTTTTGCTTTCAGATAAATCAACAAAACATAGATAAAAGAGCACTTGAAGATAGAAATAATTGTATTTTTTTATAACATTTCAAAATGATTCTTTTTACGATAAGTATCTAATGTTTTTTTTATTATTTTGTATCCCATATTGTGACTTTTATGACAAAATATATAACTTTAATGTTGAAAAGCCCTACATTCTTACAAATTAAATGTTTTGTCTAATTGACTGTCATTTTATTGACAGTTAAAAACATAAATTCTCCTCTCATAAGACGCGTGTACACGATTTATATCAAATTAATCTGGATAATCAATCTTCGCAAGAACAGTTTATTATTGAACAATATTTATCCTATATACAACTGAAAAAATTACATATTTACTTAAGAAAATCAGCTTGACATCTATGATATAAAAATAAGAGAGATCAAATTAAATTTCACATTGTCCCGCTTGATTTCAAACTTTCTTATTGACTTCAATTCACAAATTCAAGATGAACTCACGAATTGCTATCTTCTTGTTCTTTATTATTGCTGCATTAGCGATATCAGGTAATAATTATACATTTAGTTACTATTTCAATTTATTTTGAGTTTAATACTTTAATTCATGTTGTTTTTATCAAGTTTAAATTTAGGTGGAAATATTTGTAATTCAGTCCAATAATCCTATTTTTTTTTTAATAAATAAATTTTTCTAGCACAAAATACCAACAGATGTTAAAAGGTTTCGAAAAAAAATTGAAATATAAGAAGTGTTAAAGAATATATTTGTGAATTGTATTTCTATTTCCAGATAAAATATATTTACTATTACGCATTTCAAACTACGGAGTTTCTTGTCAAAACTTAAACGTAACAGAAGTTCTATATGTTTTTAATTACACTATTTGCTTTTATTCCTTTTTACAATCGAAGTTTTCAATTTTTATGACAGCATTGCATGAAGATCTTATACTTTTCTTAAATGTACTAAAACTCAATTAAAAATTTATTACTTTTGTTATTTAGTTTCAGGAATCTTTTGATAGAATTCGTGTATGTTTCTAAACACCAAATCTGCGACATAATTTTTTCCAGTATCTTTGAGATCTTTTTTTATATTATTTCCCTTGTTACTCAAAATATCTGTTTAATGTTTGTTGTCAAGGAAAATTAAGCAAGAAAATTTTTGCAGGAGTAGAATGAGGCAAACAAAAATTATTACTATTCTATTTATTACCAGAAATTAAAAAATAAATGGGAAAATTTCCTCTGCTCATCATCGTTCAATTTATCTTTCACTAAACTATTAAGTAGAAACACGTGTCGTCAGTGTATTTGTTTAATTTCATAGATAGTACTGAATTTAGAAAGTTGAGATACTTAATTTATTGCAAAACTAGAAGTAAAGCACTGTTGTTAAACTTTTGAAAAATGTTATTTGGATGCACATTTAAGAATATATTAGAGTTTTGAAGTTAGTGTTAGTAAATCAAAATTATAAAAATTTCCTTCTGTTTAAAGTTTTAATACTTATTTTAAAGTTTTAATAAATAGTTAAGTTAAAAGTATAAGTTTTTAATAAAGTAGTCATTGCTAATTAATGAAAACTTCTTTTTTTATAGCTACGTTTGGTGATTGTATGTAAAACATTTAAGTTCATATTGCTTTTTTCGTTATTTTTATTTCATTAAATCATGTTTTCTTCTAGTATATGCAAATATATTTTATTCGAAATAAATATTTCACTAATAAATATATTATTTGAAAAAAAAGACAAAATTTTAGTTGTTTTAAATTTAATTAGTGTGATATTTTGGTAAATTTAAATCAAAAATCTCTTTAAAGACATATTTTTATTTAAATTAGTTATTTTATTTAGTAGATTCTAATTATGATTTTTCTAAGCGTACTTTTAAAAATTGACCAGTAATGTCCCTTGTTGTATATGGGTCTTTCAATTTTAAATTCACGTATTGCATTTTTTACCTCATGTCAATTTTAAAAAATACATAATATTTCTTTAAGAAAAATATTAATTTACTTTAATGATTTTCTTTTAAAAAAATGAGTTGAATATTAAAGGATTTAAAAAGTAACTTAAATCAATAACTAATCAATTAAAAAAACATCTTTTAACTAAAGAACTGTTAATTAAAATACTATTAAGAAGTTTAAGATATGTGGTAAATAACATTAAAAAGTTTGCACACTAATTAAAACATTTTAGTTTCATATTGAGACGACTTCCTTGCAAAATTTACATTTAATTCAGCATCTGTCTAAACGTTAAGCATTTATTATGATAATGCATAAATATGAGAGAGATGAGAGAGAGAGAGAGAGAGGGAGAGTGAGTGAGAGAGAAAGAGAGTGAGTGAGAGAGAGAGACACAGACAGACAGAGAGAGAGAGATAAATAGAGAGAGAGGGAGAGTGAGTGAGAGAGAGAGACACAGACAGACAGAGAGAGAGAGAGAGAAATAGAGAGAGAGTGATCTGAATATAAGTTAAGCAAGGGAAAAAAGTCTTACCTAAGAGCATTTGAACTTTCTTGAAGTGTTTTAATATAAAACATTTACTTAAAAGTATTTAATATTTCCTTAATTAAGTTAATTCAAAAATATTTATTTCAGCATGCAAGAGTTAAATATTATATTAGTAAACACTCTTAACTAATTAATATTTGATTTAAATTGATCTTTTTTTAGCTGATGTGATAGACCAGTTAAAACAAGCTGGTTTGGACTCTGAAATGGGTATGTAATAAAATAATTTTAATTACATATGAAAAAATTACAGATTAGTAAAACGCACATCTATCGTCGTTTTAACTATTGACATGAAATCTTAATCTTTATATTTAAAACTAAGGAAATCATTATTAACTATGCTCTCTAATAAATATTTTTATCCATCTCTGGAATGGAAGGTATTTAAAGGGACTTAATTCTGTAAATCTAAGTTTACCTTTACGTAATAAACTTACGTAAAGGTAAACTTAGCTTGACCTTTAAATTTAAAACTAGAAAAATTATTAATAAAAATTTTCTCTTATAAATATTCGTATCTATCTTGGAAGTGGAAGGTATTTTAAGGGCCTTTATTATGTAAATCTAAATTTACGCAATCTTTCAGTCAGTTTTCCTTTCTAAATCGAAAACACACTATTTTTTCAATTGAATACTACAATCTATGTATTTTAATATTTTGTTTAATTTAAACTTAAGTTTACATGATGAGACCTAAATTTATTAAAAATGATAAATTTAAATGGGCGGGAATATTCCATAGTTAAAATAATTGATATTTTTACAATATTTTGATGCAAAGAGGAGAATTTAAAGATGGTTTCCTTGAACTCTGACTTAAATAATAAAACATTCCTATGGATGAGAACATTCGATAGTGAAATAATAGTATTGAAAAGTTTCTTGTTAAAAAAAAATTTAACTCAAGGCTTATCATGTAAACTTAAGTTTAACTTAAACAAAATATTCTTTAAATTCTCCTCTTTGAATCAAAATATTGTAAAAATATCAATTATTTTCACTATGGAATATTTCCGTCCATTTAAATTTATCATTTTTAATAAATTTAAGTCTAACGATATTGCCTTGAGTTTGTAGCTTTACATGGAAACTTCGTAAAATTATTATTATTTTCGTATTTGAATAGTTTTCATCCCGAGAGATTTTTTTTTTATGTTAACCTAAGTTCAACCTTTTAACCTCGAGTCTTTGGATCAAATTATATCAAAAATAATTCTTAGCACATAAGTTTTCACCTGAAAAATCTCAACCTTTCTAGTATAGTTTAAACATAAGGGAGATCGAAATTCTAGATTCAATTTTAATGGTTCTGTGTTCAGATTTACATAATTAGTTTCGTAAATAAGTGCTAATATACAATACAGAAAAAGAATTAAAATCATTATTACTCTTAATTTTGCTTTTATTAACATTTTCGAATCGTTTCCTTTTTTTTCTTTCTTTCCTATTTAATACTCAGGCTGCTTCCAGTAGATTATTCTAAAAATATAGCATTAGTTTTTTTTAAAATAAAAACAACATTATATATATATATATATATATATATATCAGTGGAACCTGTCTAAATTGACCACCCTCGGGACCAAGTCAAATGGTCACTATATAGAGGTGGTCANAGGCGCGTGGCGGCCCTACGCCCTACTGTCTTGATACTAGCACCTCATGTATCCGAAATGAGGGGTGTCCGGTCATTAATGGCCAGATAGTGTATATATAAATGTGTGTATATATATATGAATAACTTTCTTATTTTACTCTAGCAAGTGAACTCGAAAATGTCATTGAACAGCTGCAACAGTAGTAAGTAATTTAATGAGAGTTTCTACTCAATAATTTTTTCTTAATCCTGTGTTAAATTTGTTTATTACCACTACTCCATTTTTTTCTCTCGGAAGAATAATTTTTTTGCAACATGGGGCGACGCGGGTTCGAAACCCAGCATTGTCAGACGAAGACGAATTCTGCACTTTGCTCGCACCAAGCCCAATGCTGAGTGCTAACATAAAACATCCTCATTGGTAGATGAATCATGGGCTATTTTCTCCGTAAGACTATTTTCTCAAATTCTAGCAATCTGTCTGTCCGAGCTACATCTCTGTTTAAGAGAAACTCAAGCACAGAATCGAAAAGATTCCAAAACCTATTGAGACAGGCGCCTTTGGAAAGTCAGAGAATATCGGTGTATAGTAGCAAGAGATTGAATTCTTCATCATACACTGCTGTCTAAATACTCAATCGTTGAGAGCATTACTGTGAATTTTTTCACAGAAAATATGATACATCGAAGTGACTGACGCAAACGGTCGCTGACATATTTTCCTAATAAATGCGGTCTATGAATCATCCAGTGAACAGCTAAAATATCTGGTACTTCCCTTTTCAAAAGGGTGATAAGCCCACGATGTCGACTCACCATTGCAAGAGCTCCATCAGTGGCAATCAACATAATATTGCAAGAGGAATGTTTTTGTAATAATCTTGGACAGTATTAAAAAAAGATTTGCCTTTGGTATCTACAATCAAGCTTCTAAAAAAAAGCATCTCTTAAATACGTTTTCCTTCCTTTACAAACCAGACCAACATCTACAGTAAAGCCTACATTGCATGACAAGGCTGATTCATCAACTTCAAGGAAAATTCGCTGGATATCAAGAGTTTGCATAAAGAAACTTCAACGTCTTCAGCCATCTCACCATTTCGTCCCCGCACTGTCTCGTTGCTTAATGGGATATTTTTGATTAAATTGGAAGTGACTTGATGGTGCAAAATTGTTTCTAAAACTTCCGTGACAACCAGCAGAATCAACTCTGCACCAATAGTATGAGTTTTCCTAGAATTAGCAATAAATTTTGATATATTATAAAACGCTATCAAACCATCGTCGTATTATTGCGATGAGGTTGCTAACAACCCACAGACCGAAGGTGCCTTCAGAAACTTGTCTTTGATGTTCGAGAAAAATGACAAATCTTTATTTTGTTTGTCAGGATGAGATTTTTGCAAATGCTCTTGCCAACGGAAATATTTCATTGTCTCATTAGATAAAACTTTGTTACGAAGTTAACACTTGGGCAGTTTAGAGTTCAGTAGCGATTGAACAAATCTAAATTTCAAGTACGAGGCACGGTACTGATGACGCTTCTTTTTTTAACCGCCATTGCTGGTGGCAGCAAAATACAAATGATGACAGAAAATAAACTATTTCCTAAAATTAATAAATAATTTACGGTCAAGAACAAATTCTCGGAAATACCTGGCCAAGTAAACAATAAGATCGGATCGAAACTTAGGAAAAAAATGCTAAGGAAGGTAACGACAATCATCTTAATGCCTCTATCACACGAGAGAAAAATATGTGCAACTGCAAGTGTAACTGCAAGTGTAAGTGCAACTGTAAGTGAAATTCCTCCGTTCGGAGTTGCCGAAATGGTTGCTTAATTGCCTGAACGGTTGCATGAAATTGGGTTACCATATTTTGTTATTTATCTTTACTTCTCTCATATTTAATTTTCTCATATGATTCTATTATATCATAGTTTCTCAACGATGTTCGTAAAGATGCTGTAGAATATTGATTGATTTTGATTTAATTTTTTACATTTGTATTCGTGTTAAGTCTTTTCTTCAGCAGGAAATTA